CCCGGACATGTATGTCTGTTTCCTTCACCAAGTTAGGAAAGTTTTCTGCCATTATTGTTTCAAACAGGTTTTTGATTTCTTGTTCTCACTCTTCTCCTTCTGGCACCCCCAAGATGTGAATGTTGGCACACTTGAAGTTGTCCCAGAGGCTCCTTACACTATCCTCATTTTTTTGGATTCTTTTTTCTTTTTGCTGTTCTGATTCGGCGTTTTTTGCTTCCTTATATTCCAAATCGATGGTTTGCTTCTTGGATTTATGTACTCTACTATTGAAGGTGTGTAAATTATTCTTTATTTCAGTTAATGCCTCCTTCAATTCTGACTGTGCATCCATAATTTCTGACTGGTCCTTTTTTATGCTCTTGAGGCCCTCACTGAGTTCATTGAGCCTCCTTATAAGTAGTATTTTGAACTCAGCATCTGTTAGGTTGCTTATCTCCATTTTGCTTAGTTCTTTTCTTGGGGTTTTGTTCTGTTCTTTCATTTGGGACCTGTTTCTTTGTCTCCTCATTTTGGCTGCCTCCCTGTGTTTGTTTCTGTGTATTACTTAACGAGAGGTATGGGGCTAGCTGAGACCAGATGCTGCTTATTTGAAAAATTTAGGAAAAACCTGAAGCAGGATCCAAGACAGGCCAATTTTATGGTTAAGCAACTGCCAACAGCTTGGGTGGGCCTGAAAGTTGGGTGGGGCGGGGTGGGGCCTCAGGGAGTCACCAGGGTGGGGCTACCAGTGTGAGCCAGGTTGCTGGAGTCCCAGATATGGCAGCTCTCTGCTGCCCCAGGGAAGGGCTCACCAAAGGAACAAAGGCCTCTGACAGCACATTTGTCCCGGAGAAAGCCCCCTCTCCAGCCCTCGCTCCAGTGTCAATCAGCTCAGTTCTTCCCTGTATGTCTCTGGTGCCCCTCGAGCTGCCTCCCCTCTAAGCTTAGAGGGAGTGAGTCAGATAAGTCCGTGCATGGGCCCTTTAAGGAGCTGCCTGGGGCTCAATCCGCTTCAGCTTCCCTGAGCCTCAGTTCTTGCTGGTTTTTCCAGCCAGAAGTTATGAGGACTTCTCTTCCTGGCACTGGAACCCTGAGCAGGGTGTCTGGTGTGGGACGGGGACCCCTCAGTGCTCAGGAAGGACCTTCGCAGCTGAGCTAGCCTCCTGATTTTTATCCGCCACACGTGGGTGTGGAACCAGCCTGCCTCGCCACCGGCCCTTGCGCCTCCGCCCCTCCTACCAGTCTGGATGTGGCTGTTGCTTTAATTCCGTAGTTGTAGGACTTCCATTCAGCTTGATTTCAGGTGGTTTTGAATGATGGTTGTTCTGTAGTTTAGTTGTAACTTTGATGTGGCTGTGGGAGGACGCAATACCACGTTTACCTATGCCCCCATCTTGACCGGAAGTAAAAAAATTCTTGATTCAGCCTCTGAAACAGTTTTGTTCTCTTGAGGGGATGCCTTCCTGGACTCAAACACCCAATGGCCTTTTTAATCTTCATCAGTATGATTTCACCAATGCAGGCCAATCATTAGTCTGCCTGTGACATTCTTGACTAGCCCAAAGTCACATGACAACAACAAGATAATTGTCACCATACAGGCAATAAAGCTGCTGCTGAACAATTCATAGAGAAGATAGAAAATTATCATATGTAAAACCATAAAAATTTTAAGAAACAAAGCAGAAAATTTTCATGGCCCAGGTTTAGGAGAAAGGTTCTGAGAATATACTGAAAACACAATTCATAAAAAAACAAACAAAAAAAAAGAATTGATGAATTTGACTTCATCAAAATTAATAACTTTGGCTTTATAAAAAACATAGTTAAAAGAATGAAAAGACAAGCTACAGACTGGAAGAAAAATATATTTTTTTAAATTAATATTTTTCAATTATATATGGCAAGTAATTTATATCCAGAATATATACTGTGATCTCAAATCTCAACAATAAGAAGCAAACAACTCAATTTTTTAAATGGGCAAAATATTTCCATAGATAGATACTTCACCAAGGAAGGTATACAAGTGGCCAGTAAGTATGTGAAAAAAAATGCTCAATATCATTAGTCATTAGAAAAATGCATATTAAAACCACAGTGAAATTCTGATACATACCTATTAGAATAGCTAAAATAATAATTTAAAAATTGTCAAGTATGTTGACAAGAATGCAGAGCAACATTGTTGATGGGAATTCACAATGGTGAAACCACTGTGGAAAACAATGGTTAGCACTGTAATATGTGATTCATAATAAGAAAAATATATTTGATCTTCATCCCATTTCTGGCAGAGCTCCTAAAACACTTGGAATGTCCTGTGATGCAGCTATAAATGTGTCCTTTGTTGTGATAATGAAGTAATTTTGGAAAGCACTTAAGGTTGGAGGTTGGTTGCCAGTGGAGCCAACCATGTGATTAGAGAGATAAAACCTTCACTCCCACTGGCCTGATCTCCAAGAGGGGAGAGGCTGAAGTTTGAGTCCAATTGCCAATGGCCAGTGACTTAATCAATTATGCCTATGTAATGAAGCATCCACAAAAACCCAAAAGAACAGAGTTGGGGAGCTTCCTGGTTGGTGAACACCCAAAGATGCTCTGAGAGTGGTATACTTAATTAGGGCATAGAAGCACTCTTTCCCCATATCTTGCCCTATGCATCCCTTCTATCTGGCTATTTCTGTTATACCGTTTTATAACAAACTGGTAATCGAGTAACTAACATGTGTCTCTGAGTTCTGTGAGCCAATCTAGCAAGTCAATGGAAACCAAGGAAGGAGTCATTGGAACCTCTGATCTATAGCCACCAGTTGGTCAGAAGCACAGGTGGCCACCTGGACTTGCAATTGACATCTGAAGTGGTGGGGAAGGTAGTGTTGTAGGACTGAGTGCTTAACCTTTGGGATCTGATGCTAACTCCAAGAAGATAGGGCCAGATTTAAGTTAAATTGTAGGACATCCAGTTGGTGTCTCAGAATTGCTTGGTGTTGGGGAAAAACACACACACCCTGAAATTGGTGTCAGAATTGTAGGCATTGTCTTATAAAGTTAAATATAAGCTTTATTTTCATTCCTGAGAACTGAAAGCTTAACATCCACACAAAATCTGTACATGAATGTTCATGCCAACTTTATTTGTAATAGCCAAGAAATGGAAACAACCTAAATGTCCTTTAATAAATGAAAGATTAATCAAACTATGGTACATTCATACCACGAACTACTACTCAGCAATAAAACAATATAGTAGTGATACATGCAATAAAATGGATTAATCTCAAAGGTATTATACTGAGTGAAAAACACAGTCTTGAATGGTTATATATTGTATGGTTCCATTTATATGACATTCTCAAAAATGCAGCTCTGTAGTGATGGAGAACAGATCAGTGGTTGCCAAGTGCATGACTATACATATATATGACTATATATATATATGTGTGTGTGTATATATATATATATATGTATTTATACACACACATGCACACAAACACACACATAGAAGGAAGGAGTCTGGGGGGATGTTGGAACTGTTCTGTACCCTGATGGTAATGGTTTCATGAATCTATACCTGTGCTGAAACCCATAGACTTAGTCAAGAAAAGTAAAAGTCATTTTCACTATTTGATCATTTAAAAACTAAAATAGGAATTAAAATGTTTTCAGACAGCTTTGCCTATATTTTAAATTTGTAGGAGTGCCCTGGCCAGTTTGGCTCAGCGGTTAAGCATCAGCCTGTGGTCCCACGAGACCCAGGTTCAATTCCTGGTTCCTGCTAAGGGCATGTACCTTGGTTGCAGTTTGTCCCCAGCCCTGGTTGGGTTGTGCGGGTGGCAGTCACTCGATGTGTCCCTTCACATCGATGTTTCTCTCTCTCTCGTCCTCTCCCTCCCACTCTATCTGAACAAAAAAATGGGAAAATGTCCTCCGGTGAGGATAAAAAAAAATTTGTAGGAGTGAGTTGCTTTGCCAATCTTACTTTTACTCTCTAAGCATCAAGAGTATAAGAGAGACAAAAGGATAATATCATAAGCAAAAACCTACCTACTTAAAATAAGCCTTTAAAGAAAACTTTCCAGTAAAATGAAGAAATACAATGCTAAGAAAGACAACCAACAAATTCAACTATTAAAGCACAAAGCAAGCTCATTATATATACATATATGTATATATATATATATATATATATATATATATATATATATGATTTTCTTTAGAGAAAAATAGAAACATCGGTAAGAGAGAGAAACATATATAATTGATTTTCTTTAGAGAGAGATAGAATCATCAATGTGAGAAAGAAACATCAATCGGCTGTCTCCTGCATGCGTACTGGGGATTGACCCTGCAATTCAGGCATGTGCCCTGACCAGAAATTGAACCAGGATCTCGCAGTCCATGGGACTATGTTCAATCCACTGAGCCACACTGACAAGGCAGCAAGCTCATTTTTAATATTAACATCTTTAAAATGGATGTTCATTATGTTCATTTAAAATGTGACTATAGGTGTTTAATATGGATAGTGGTTATTTAGCTTATAACTTTTTGTTCATTTACAACTGAAGTAAAAAATGTTAAAACATAATAGAAATTCTGTTAATTGCTCATATGCACATTTTCCATGAACAGTGAGTATGGTTTTTGTAATTTTTCTTTTTCTCTTTTATATTTACTCTGAACACATACATATGTACTGTACAAAATATGATTACATGGGCTTGTATTTTGTATGTCTTTTTAATTTCATTTTTAATAATTCATCTTTATTGTATTTACAAATGTAGTGGTCTGCAACAAATTTGAAATAAAAGTTCTTTACCCCAAATAGTTTTTGAAGCACTGATATAGGAGACCTGACACTGAAGAAAAGATGTTATAGTCAAGTTAACAAGAGACAAAGGGCTACATTTGTGTTTACTTTCAAGCTGTTGATGAAGTAATGTCTCCTCCTAGTGTCAAGTTGCTATGAAAGGATTTTCAATAGACAATAAATATTCTCACTTCTTTTGCAGGGAGTCTGGCCAAAGAACGGACAGAGACAATGCATGATTTTGTACTACTTTTTGCTGTATTTGATGAAGGTTAGTGAGCTGCAATCTAAATTTTGGGTTCCTGAAAGAAAGCAAATATATTTATTTATTCTGGTATTTGAGATGAAGGCTGCTATTGTCCAGAGAAAGTGATTATAGTAAGATAATAAACTACATTACTGTTAAGGAATGAAGGAGATGAAAATGACAATGAATTTCACCCTACCCTCTGTCCTCGAATGCACCCTTGGTTTCATTCACAGCTACGAGGTAAGAAAATGCAGGAGCTGGGTAACAGGTTAGTCTCATCCCCCTCATTAAATCCACCAACAAGAACTTTTTGTTTAACTTAATAAAATTTCAATAAAAGTTCTATATAGTATATATTTAAGGTATACAACCTGATAATTTCATATTCATATACATAGTTAAATAGTTACTACAGTCAAGCTAATTAACATCCATCTTCTCACAGTTACCATTTGTGTGTGACAAGTGTACCTGAAATCTACTTTCTCAGCATATTCCCAGTGTTCAACACACTCTTTGTAACTATAGTTATCATGCCTATGCCTTATAGCTCCATAACTTATTCATTTTAAAACTGAAAGTTTAGTCCAGCTGGTGTGGTTCAGTGGTTGTGTCAGACCCATGCACCAAGAGGTCGCCAGTTCGATTCCCAGTCAGGACACATGCCCAGGTTGTGGGCCTGATCTCCAGTGGTGCACATGCAAGAGGTAGCCAGTCAATATTCTCTCTCATTGATGTTTCTATCTGTCTCCCTCTCCCTCCCTCTCTCTCTAAAATCAATAAAAAAACTGAAAGTTTATACCCTTTGACTAATATCTCCCCATTTCCCCCACTCCCCCAGCTCCTGACAACCACCATTCTACTCTCTGCTTTAATAACTATACCTTCTCTTCTCTTCATTTCTTAACTTTTAAGTAACTTTGGCAAGTTATGTAAACTCCCTGTGTTCAGTTTCCTCAAATTTAACATTCAAATAATAGTACAGTTGACTCTCAACCAACATAGAGATTAACTGACCCACTGTGCTGTCGAAAATCCATGTATAATTTTGACTGCCCCAAAACTGAACCATAGTGATCCCGTGGTATCCATAGGGGAATGGATCCAGGAGCCCCCCTCAGATACCAAAATCTGTGGATGCTCACGACCCTTATATAAAATGGCATAGAAATGCATACAGTTGGCCCTCCACATCTGAGGATTTCCAACTGTGGGTTGAAAATACCATTTTCAACCAGTGGTTGGTTGAATCAGAGGAGGTGAAACTGCAGGTACTGAAGACAAATTATATATTATTGAAAAATATCCATGTATAAGTGGATCTGCGTAGTTAAAAACCTGTATTGTTCAAGTGTCAATAGTACGTTCTTCAGAAAATAGTTGTGAGTGATGACAATTAAGTAACTTAAAACACTATGTGGCACAGGATAGGTCCTCAATAGTGTTAGTACTTCTTCCTCTTCCACCTCCCAATCATTATATAAAAACCACCAACAAAATGATCATCTTCCCTCCTTTTTTATCGTCCTACACTGCCATCTTCTGAATTGAGGCCCCTGTCATCTTTTTCCTGACTGGTCTTTCTGTCTTTTGGGGGGCCCTGACACTCCATTGTTATAGCCAGAGGGAACTTACTGAAGTGCCAAACTAATATTGCCACTCCAGTCTTTAAAATCCTTCAATTTTATTGTGAAACAGGAAAACAAATCCCAAATAAAAGAACAATAGAACTCTACCAGAGAAGAGATAAATGAAATACAGTAAAGCAAGTTATCAGAAGTAGAGTTCAGAGTGATGATAATGAGGAAACTCAAAAGCATGAGTAAAGAGCCCAACAGCATGAGTAAAGATGCAGAAACATAAAAAACCAACCAATTGGAAATGAAGAATGACATAGCAGAAATAAGAAACACATTGGAAGAAATCACCAGCAGAGAAGAGAAAGCAGAGGACTGGATCAGGGTATTAGAAAACAGGACAGAACAAATCACCTAATCAGAAAACCAAAAAGAAAATAACAATTAAAAAAATAAACAACACAAAAAACAGAAAGACAGCTTAAGAGAACTATAGGACAAAATGAAATGTAACAACATCCACATCATAGCAGTTCCAGAATAAGAGAAAATAAGCAAGGGTTAGAGAATATATTTGAAGAAATAGTGACAGAAAACTTCCCTAATTTGGTGAAGGAAGAAGGTGTTTAGGTACAAGAAGCACAGAGAGACCCAAGTAAAAAGAACCCAAACAGGCTCACACCAAGCCACATAAAAATTAAAATGCCAAAAATTAAAGACAAAGAAAGAATCCTAAAAGCAGCAAGAGATAAGCAACAGGTTACCTACAAAGAAACCCCCATACGGCTATCAGCTGACTTCTCCACAGAAACACTATAGGCCAGAAGAGAATGGCATGAAGTAATCAAGTTTATGAAAAACAAGGATCTGTATCCAAGACTACTCTACCCAGCAAGACTATCATTCAAAATAGAAGGTCAAATAAAGAACTTCTCAGACACAAAAAGGCTAAGGGAATACATTAGCCCCAAACCAGCACTGCAAGAAATGTTAAAAGGACTGCTATAATTACTAGAAGAAATAGGAAGAAAAATACAACCACACTAAACAAAAATGGCAATAAATAAGTACATATCAATAATCACCTTAAATGTAAATGGATTGAATGTTCCGATAAATAGACACAGAGTAGCTAATTAGATAAGAAAGCATAACTCATATATATGTAGTTTACAAGAGACCTACCTCACAACAAAAGACTCACATAGGTTGAAAGTGAAGGGATGGAAAAAAATTTCCAAGCAAATGGAAAGGAAAAAAAAAAAAAAAGCTGGGGTAGCAATACTCATATCTGATAAAATAGATTTCAAAATGAACACCATATCTAGAGACAAAGAAGGCCACTACATAATATTGAAAGGATCTATTAAACAGGAAGATATAACCCTGGTAAACATATATGCACCCAATATGGGAGCACCAACATATATTAAAAATCTTCTGGAGAACTTCAAAGGAGAAATCAACAGCAATACCATCATAGCAGGGGACTTCAACACTCTGCTGACATCACTGGATAGATACTCTAGACAAAAAATCAGTGAGGAAACAGAGATTCTAAATGAAGCAGAAGACTAAATGGAATTAACAGATATCTATAGAGAATTATACCCCAAAACTACAAAATTCACATTCTTCTCAAGTGCACATGGGACATTCTCAAAGATAGACCACTTGATAGAACACAAACTAAGTCTCTAAAAGTTCAAGAAGATTGAAATCATATCAAGCATCTTCTCAGATCACAATGGCATGAAACTAGAAATCAATTGCAACAAGAGCATACAAAGACATTTGAACACAAGGAGGCCAAGTAGCATGTTATTAAACAATGAATGGGTTATGGAGGAGATCGAGGAAGAAATTAGAAACTTCCGTTAAACCAATGAAAATGAACACACAACAACTCAAAATCTATGAAATGAGCAAAGGCAGTTCTAAGAAGGAAGTTGATAGCACTACAAGCCTACCTCAAGAAACAAGAAAAATTTCTAAAACACTCTCTAGCCTCCCAACTTAAAGGACTAGAAAGCAAACAAAAAGAAAATCCCAGAGCAAGTAGAAACAAGGAAATATTAAAGATCAGATCAGAAATAAATGACATAGAGACCAAAAATACAATTCAAATAATCAATGAAACAAAGAGCTTTTTTAAAAAAAAGATACATTAGATTGATGGACCTTTACCTAGACTCACCAAGAAACAAAGAGAGAGAACCCAAATACACAAAATCAGAAATGAAAGAGGAGAAGTAACAACTGACACCACAGAAATACAAAGGATCATTAACAACTGCTATGAACAATTCATTGTATGGCAACAAATTTGACAATCTAAGTGAAATGGACAAATTTCTAGAAACACATAGTCTCCCAAAACTGAACCGGGAAGAGATAGAAAACTTGAACAGACCAATAACAACTCAGGAAATTGAAGAGGTAATCAAGACTCTCCCAGAAAACAAAAGCCAAGGCCCGGATGGTTTCACGGGGGAGTTTTACTGAACATTCAAAGAAGAACTAATACCAATTTTCCTCAAATTATTTCAAAAAATTCAAGAAGAAGGAAGACTTCCAAACTCATTTTATGAGGCCAGCATAATTCTAATTCCAAAACAAGATAAAGACACTACAAAGAAAGAAAACCACAGGCCAATATTTCTGACGAACATAGATGTCAAAATCTTGAACAAAATACTATCAAATCTGATCGAGCAATACATGAAAAAAATTATTTACCATGACCAAGTGGGATTCATCTCAGGGATGCAAGGCTGGTACAATATTTGCAAATCAATAAATGTGACACACCACATAAACAAAATGAAAGATAAAAACCATATGACCATATCAATAGATGCTGAAAAAGCATTTGACAAAATCCAGCACCCGTTTCTGATAAAAACATTTAACAATGTGGGAATAGAGGGAACATATATCAACATAATAAAGGCCGTATATGAAAAACTTACAGCCAACCTCACACTCAATGGGCAAAAACTAAAAGCATTTCCCTTAAGAACAGGAACAGGACAGGGATGCCCACTTTCACCACTCTTATTTAACGTAGTACTAAGTCTTAGTGACAGCAATTAGACATGATGGAAAAATAAAAGGGATCCAAATTGGAAAGTAGGAAGTGAAACTGTCATTATTTCCAAATGACATGATATTGTACATAGAAAACCCTAAAGACTCCATCAATAATTTACTAGATGTAATGAACAAATTTGGCAAACAGCAGGACACAAAATTAACATCAAGAAATCGATGGCATTCTTATACACAAATAATGAAGTCACAGAAAGAGAAATTAAAGAAACAACCCCATTTACCATTGTGGCAAAATTTAAGATACCTAGTATTAAACTTAACCAAAGAAATAAAGGACCTATTTGCAGAAAACTACAGGTCATTGAAAAAAGAAATAGAGGAAGATATAAAAAAGTGGAAGCACATACCTTGTTCATGAATTGGAAGAATTAACATCATTAAAATGTCCATACTTCCCAAAGCAATCTATAGATTCAATGCAATCCCCATTAAAATACCAACAACGTATTTCATGAAACTAGACCAAATGTTCCAAAAGTTTATATGGAACCAAAAAAAGACTTCGAATAGCCACAGCAATCTTGAAAAAGAAGAGCAAAGTGAGAGGGATCACAATTCCAGATTTTAAGTCATACTTCAAAGCCATTATAAGCAAAACAGCCTGGTACTGGCAAAGGCCAGACATATGGATCAATGTAATAGAACAGACAACCCAGAAACTGACCCAGTATGTTCAATTAATATTGGACAAAGTTGGCAAGAGCATGCAATGGAGTAAAGACAGCCTCTTTAATAAACAGTGTTAGGAAAACTGGACAGCTACATGCAAAAAATGAAGTTGGACCACCAACTTACACCATGCACAAGATTAAATTCAAAATTGATAAAAGACTTAAATGTGACTTGTGTATCCATAAAAATCCTAGAAGAAAATGTAGGCAACAATTTCAGACATCACACACATCAGAATTTTCACTGATACAACGCCTAAGGCAAGAGAAACAAAGGAAACAATTAATATATGGGACTATATCAAATTAGAAAGCTTCTGCACAGCAAAAGAAACAACCATCAAAATGGAACGGGAACCCACTATATGGGAGGGTATAGTTGCCAATGGTGTATTAGATAAGGGGTTAGTTTCCAAAATATATAGAATACTCATACAATTTACCAAAAAGAAGACAAAGAACCCAATTTATAATTTTTTATTAATTAATTAATTTATTTTTGTTACAGATGTTTCTTCTTTTCCCCCCACTGATTTCCCCATCCCCCTCCCTCCCTGCCCTGTCCCCTGCTTTGTTGTCCATGTCCATTATTCATGCATACATGCATATAAGTTCTGGTGTGGCGGGGGGAAAGAACCCAATTTAAAAAACAGGCAGAGGAGACAGTTCTCTAAACAAGACATACAAGTGGCCAAGAGACATATGAAAAAATGCTCTACATCACTAATCATCAGAGAGATGCAAATTAAAACAACAGTGAGGTATCACAGCACACCTGTCAGAATGGCTGCCATCAACAAATCATCAAAGAACAAGTTCTGGCAAGGGTGTGGAGGAAAGGGCACTCTAGTACACTGCTGGTGGGAATTCAGATTGGTGCAGCCATTATGGAAAACAATATGGTGCTTTTTCAAAAAATTAAATATTGAATTGCCATTTGACCCAGCAATCCCACTTCTATGAATATATCCTAAGAAGCCTGAAACAACAATCAGAAAGAATATATGTACCCCAATGCTCATAGCAGCACTATTTACAGTCGCTAAAATCTGCAAACAGCCCAAGTGTCCATCAATAGATGAGTGGATGAAAAAGCTGTGGTACTTGTACACAACAGGTTACTCTGTGGCTGTAAGAAAGAGAGATATCTTTTCCTTGAGACACCATGGAGAGACCGTAATTGTATTATGCTAAGCGAAATAAGCCAATCAGAGAAAGACAAATACCACATGATCTCACTTATTTGTGGAATATAATGAACAAAATAAACTTATGAACAAAATAGACCCAGAGACATAGAAAGGAGTGGTGTTCAGACTGACAAACCTCAGAGGAGGGGGTGGGGGGGATGGATAATATAAACCAAAGAACTTATATGCATGTATGCATAACCAATGGACATAGACAACAATGCTGGGGGAGGGTGTCTAGGGGGAAAAAGGAGAAACATCTGTAACAAAAATAAATTAATAAAAATTGCAGAAAAAATCTTTCAATTTTACCTCACTGCAAAATACAAACGTGTTATCTATCATAAGGATGCCTGAATTGTGTTCCTCTTCTTGCCTCACTGTCCAGGCTCCAGCCACACTGAATACGTTTCATATTTCACCCAAATATGTCATACTTTTTCTTTCATCCAGACCTTTGCTTATGTTGTTTCCTCCACCTGGAAAGCCTGTTTCCATCTTCACACCAAGTAAGTTTAATCTACTTCTAGCTGGCCTATGCCTAGGGATTTATTTGTCTTTATATATTTCTACAACACCTTGAATTTCTTCCTTATCATACTAACTCATCATTGCTTGCTTTATTTAGTATTTATCTTTTTTGACCTCATGTCCCTTTCCCTACAAGCAAAGTGAAGTTTCTTCTACACTGTCCTCTCATAATACCCTATTCTCATCTCTTACATCACTCTTCACTATTATAATTACCAAACTCTCTGTCTATTCAGGCTAAACTGTAAGTACCTTGAAAGCAGAGGATATCTTCTCTGTTATCAGTGCCTAGCACTCAATAATGCTCAGTAAATATGTCTGGATGAATAAACAGATTAATGGAGAACACATAAATAAACTTAGGAGAATTTCCCCTCAAAGCCTAGGTGCTTCAGAAAGTTTCAGCATTGGCTGCCAGTCTTTCACACAAAGGAGCACTTTCCAGGAGCTAATTTCCAGTAATGATATTTAAAATGCTTTTGCTTTTACTTAATTTCATGGAAGATGTTTGAAAGCTTTCAGGTTCTTGGGCTTGCATTCTATGACTTGGATGAAACAATTAGGGCAAAGACAGGGACAGGGACTGACAAACCTTTCCTAGGATGGTTTTCATTTGCTTATTTTTAAAATAAGCTAATGAATAGAGTGAAATTTTCATGGTGCAGACATTCTCCCTTCTCCTAGTTATCATTTGCCATTATCCCTTCCCTGTCATGGACAAATTTATAGAGAGAGATAATCAGTTTGAGCAGGAAATGCCTGCCTTTTGGCAATTGTCTTCTCCCTCTCTCTTACTTATTTTGATGGCAAGTCATCCATTCCTACTATGCTGACAAAAATGCTTATGATGTGAGCAGTATTTGCCCCATGGGGGAGAATAAAGAAGAAAGGGAGGGTCAGCCATGAGACAAACATTTAGCTGACCCTGCATTTGCATTCTCTCTCATCAGGTAAAAGTTGGCATTCAGAAGCATATGGGTCCTCTACACAAGCTATGGATCCTGCATCTGCTAGACCCCGGCTTGAAATGCACACAATCAATGGATATGTAAACCGGTCTCTGCCAGGTATGTACACACTTGCTCAAGAATCCTCAGGGTCTTCAGCATTCACTACAAGAGCTCTTTTCTCCAGTTCTCTGTAGCTAGCCCTGCACCCCAGAGGAAAGCCCACTGAATTCTGGCCTCTGGAGGTAGGGGGAGGTATCTTAAACTATAGTGGCTGATTCCTCTTCCAGTTACCTAAAAATGAAGGCCTGCCCATGTAACAGAGCTCACACCTTTCTCTTTCCTTTTGCTTGAATATCAGTGGGCAATCAAAAATGAACATATATTTAAAGAAAGTCTAAAACATGAAAGGGATATTCAAAAGACAAAGAAAATAATAATCCTAGAAGAAAAAGAGGCAACGCTTAGAACAGAAGGGAACTTGTCAAAAGTTCTAATTAGTACTTTTATAAGGATTCAACAAGATTCTGCATCAATAAAGTAAGAAAAGGATTCTATGAAAAAAACAATCAAAACAAGGATTTGCTCATATAAATTAGAAATATAATGGTCTAAATATAAACTCAATAGAAGGTAGATAGGATAGAGAAAATCTCCCAGAAAGTAAAACAAAAAAAATTGAAAATATATTTTTAAATATTTTAAAAATTAAAGGAATATGTTAAGAATGATAAGATTTGAGTCTTTGTATTAAAATTTTACAACAGGATGAATAAATAAAAAGATCCCAACTCAAAATTAAGATTGTGGAATTCCAGAGAACACAGAGAAGATATTTAAGCTTTTACTGGAAAAAATATGTCACATATAAAAACATGAGACTTAAACTGGCAATATAATGAAGGAATACCTTTAAAGTTTTAAGGCCAGTGTGACTCAGCAGTTGAGTGTCGACCCATGCACCAAGAGGTTGCTGGTTCGATTCCCGATCAGGACACATGCCCAAGTTGTGGGCCTGATCCTCGGTGCGGGGCATGCAGGAGGTGGCCAGTCGATGTTCTCTCTCATTGGTGTTTTTATCTCTCTCTCCCTCTCACTTCCTGTCTTTCTAAAATCAATAAAGGAAATAAATATTTAAAGTTCTAAGGTAAAAGTCATTTTCAACCTAAAATTCATAAACAAACTATAAATCAGTGGTGGAGGCAAGAATAAAGACACTCTCAGAAGATTCCAAAATGGCGGTGAAGTGAACAAAAGCTACACAGACCGTCTCCCAGAACCAAACTGGAATTACAACTATAACACAGACAAATCGACGGGAAAAAGTAACAGGAAAGCAGCTTGCAAGGACCATATAACCAGGGACACTAGCTCGATCCTGGTAGGATTGCAAAGGCGCGAGATGGAGGCTGGGAGCCCACAGAGAGCAGCGGCCTTAGCTGGGAGCAGCGCCCTCAGGTTAAACTCCCAAGCGGCTCCACAGCGCAGAGCTGGGATGGAGGCTAAAAAAGCCACAGCTACGCAACTTGGGCTCTTGCAGAGGGAGGGCAGAGTGGACTGGAACTGTGTGGGGACACTCCGGATTTGGAGGCCACTCAGAGCTTTTTCTGAGTTGCAGCCATGCAGGACTGTGATCATCTTACTCCTTCCCAGGGCCCTGGGGAGAGGCAGTGGCCACTCCATCGGAGATTCAACCCCACACTGTGGGCCATTGAAATGCTAATTGAGACTCACTAACAACCAGCATCTGCCCCAACCTCAGAAAATCCCCTTGTGCTGAGAACCTGAGGGAGTTTTTCAATCAATTGACAACTCAAAACTCTTAAAGTAACCTCGACTGACACCCTCCAGGCAAAAAGGTAGAGGATAACAGTACTTTTCCTGGGCTTGCAACTTTAACCAGGAAAGTAAGACTTGACAGTGGTGTTTAACGTGGGTCCTCCCTTGCTCATCTAAAAGCAGGAGAGGGAGCCACAAAGAGCAGAACACCAAGACCAACAGGGAAAACTTGACAGGCTCCAAAGCCTACTGTGATAGCCAAAATGATGAAACAAAGAAACAGAAGCCAAATGAAAAAACAAGAAACCTCCATCGAACATGAGATAAATGTGGAGCAGTTAGGCAAGTAAACACAGCTAGAATTCAAAGCCATGATCTTGAGGAAGCTCAACAGCATGAGTAAGGACATAGAGATGCTGAAAATAAAGCAACTGGATATTAAAAGCCACGAAGAAGAGATAAAAAATGACATATGAGAAATGAAAAACACATTGGAAGATCTAAAAAGCAGAGTAGAAGAAGCTGAGAACCAGATCAGTGAATTAGAATACAGGGTAGAAAAAATCAACCAATCAGAAAACCAAAAGAAAAGACGACTAAAAAACAGGAAGACAGCTTAAGAGAACTGTGGGACAACTGGAAATGTAATAATATTCGCATCATAGGAGTCCCCAAAGTAGAAGAAAATGAGCAAGGGTTAGAGAATATATTTGAAGAAATAGTGACAGAAAATGTCCCTAATTTGGTGAAGGAACAAGGCATTCAAGTTCAAGAAGCACAGAGAGCCCCAAGTAAGAAGAACCCAAACAGGCCCACACCAAGACACATAGTAATTAAAATGCCAAAAATTAAAGACAAATAATACTAAATGCAGCAAGAGATAAGCAACAGGTTACCTACAAAGAAAACCCCATAAGGCTCTCAGCTGACTTCGCACATAAACACTACAGGCCAGAAGGGAATGGCATGAAGTAATCAAGGTCATGAAAAACAAGGATCTGAATCCAAGACTACTCTACCCAGCAAGGCTACCATTCAAAATAGAAGGTCAAATAAAGAGCTTCCTAGAAAAAAAAAAAAGAAAAAAAAAAGGGTAAGGGAATACATTAGCACCAAACCAGCACTGCAAGAAATGTTAAAAGGACTACTGTAATTAGTAGAAGAACTAAGAAGAAAAATAGAACCACACTAAACAAAAATGGCAACAAACAGTACATATCAATAATAACCTTAAATGCAAATGGACTGAATGCTCCACTAAAAAAACACAGAATAGTTGATTGAATAAGAAAGCATGACTCATCTATATGTTGTTTACAAGAGACCCACCTCACAACAAAAGACTCACATAGGTTGTAAGTGATGGGATGGAAAAAATCTTCCAAGCAAATGGAAAGTAAAAAAAAAAAAAAACAAAGCAGGGGTAGCAATACTCATATCTGATAAAAGAGATTTCAAAATGAAGGCCATAACTAGAGACAAAGAAGGCCACTACATAATATTGAAAGGATCTATCCAACAGGAAGATATAACCTTGATAAACATATATGCACCCAATATAGGAGCATCAAAATATATTAAAAATCTTCTAGAGGACTTCCAAGGAGAAATCGACAGTAATACAATCATAGCAGGGGAATTCAACACCTGGTTGACATCACTGGATAGATCTTCTAGACAAAAAATTAACAAGGAAACGGAGACTCTAAATGAAGCACCAAACCAAATGGATTTAATAGATATGTACAGAGAACTACACCCCAAAACTGCAGAATTCACATTTTTTTCAAGTGCACATGGGACATCCTCAAAGATATACCACATGATAGGACACAAACTAAATCTCTACAAGTTCAAGAAGATTGAAATCATATCAAGCATCTTCTCAGATCACAATGGCATGAAACTAGAAATCAATTGCAACAAGAACATGCAAAGACAATTGGACACATGTAGGCTAAATAGCATGTTATTAAACAATGAATGGGTTACCGAGGAAATCAAGGAAGAAATTAAAAACTTCCTGAAAACAAATGAAAATGAACACACAACAACTCAAAATCTATGGGATGCAGCAAAAGCAGTTCTGAGAGGGAAGTTCATAGCACTACAGGCCTACATCAAGAAACAAGAAAAATTTCTAATTGACTGTCTAACCTCACTACTTAAAGAATTAGAAAGCAAACAAAACAAAACAAAACAAAAAACCCAGATCAAGTAGAAGGAAGGAAATAGTATAGATCAGAGCAGAAAAAATGACATAGAGACAAAAAAACAAACAAACAAACAAAAAACACCACAAAAAACAATTCAAAGGTACAATGAAACAAAGAGCTGGTTTTATGAAAAGATAAACAAGATTGATGGAACCTTAGCTAGACTCACCAAGAAACAAAGAGAGAGAACCCAAATACACAAAATCAGAAATGAGAGTGGAGAAGAAACAACCGACACCACAGAAATACAAAAGATCATTAACAGCTACTATGAAAAATTATGGCAACAAATTCTACAATGTAAGCTAAATGGACAAATTTCTAGAAACACACAGTCTCCCAAAACTGGACCAGGAAGAGATAGAAAACTTGAACAGACCAATAACAACTAAGGAAATTGAAGAGGTAATCAAGGCTCTCCCGGCAAACAAAAGCACAGGCCCAGATGGCTTCATGAGGGAGTTTGACCAAACATTCAAAGAAGAACTAACACCCATTCTCCTCAAACTATTTCAAAAAATTCAAGAAGAAGAAAGACTTCCAAACTCATTTCATGAGGCCAGCATAATTTTCATTCCATAAACAGAAAAAGACACTACAGAGAAAGAAAACTACAGGCCAATATCCCTGATGAACATAGAGGCCAAAATCCTGAACAAAATACTAGCAAATTGGATCCAGTAATACATCAAAAAAATTACTCACCATGACCAAGTGAGATTCATTCTAGGGATGCAAGGCTGGTACAATATTCACGAATCACTAAATGTGATACACTGTATATACAAATTGAAGAATAAAAACTACATGAGCACATCAATAGATGCTGAAAAAGCATTTGACAAAATCCATTTATGATAAAAACGCTCAGCAATCTGGGAATACAGGGATCATATCTCGACATAATAAAGGCCATATATAAAAGACCTACACTCAACATAATACTCAATGGGCAGAAACTAAAAGCATTTCCCTTAACAGCAGGAACAGGACAAGGATGCCCTCTTTCGCCACTCTTATTTAACATAGTACTGGAAGTGTTAGCCACAGCAATCAGACAGGAAGAAAAAATAAAAGGGATCCAAATTGGAAAGGAGGAAGTGAAACTGTCATTATTTGCAGATGACATGATACTATACGTAGAAAACTGCAAAGACTCCATCAGAAATTTACTTGACTTAATAAATGAATTTGAAAAAGTAGCAGGGTACAAAATTCACATCAAGTAGTCGATAGCATTCTTATACACAAATGATGAACTCACAGAAAGAGAAACTAAAAAAACAATCCCATTTACCATTGTGGCAAAAAAATTGAGATACCTAGGAATAAACTTAACCAAAGAAATAAAGGACCTATTCGCAGAAAACTACAGGTCATTGAAAAAAGAAATAGAGGAAGATATAAAAAAGTGGAAGCACATACCCTGTTCATGGATTGGGAGAATTAACATCATTAAAATGTCCATATTACCCAAAGCAATCTATAGATTCAACGCAATCCCCATCAAAATACCAATGGCATACTTCACAGAATTAGAACAATTATTTCAAAAGTTCACATGGAACCAAAAAGGGCCTCGAATAGCCACAGCAATCTTGAAAAGGAAGAACAAAGTTGGAGGGATCACATTACCAGATTTCAGGTTTTACTACAAAGCCACTGTATTCAAAACAGCCTGGTACTGGCACAAGAACAGGCATATAGACCAGTGGAACAGAACAGAGAACCCAGAAATGGACCCAAGGCAATATGCTCAATTAACATTTGACAAAGTTGGCAAGAGAAAACAGTGGAGTAAGGCCAGCCTCTTTAATAAATGGTGCTGAGAAAATTGGACAGCTACTTGCAGAAAAATGAAACTAGACCATCAACTTACACCCTACATGAGAATAAACTCAAAATGGATAAAAGACTTAAATGTAACTCATAAATCCATAAAAATCCTAGAAGAGACTGTAGGCAACAAAATTTCAGACATCATACGCAGCAGAATTTTTACTGACACATCACCTAAGGCAATAGAAACAAAGGAGAAAATGAACACATGGGACTACATAAAACTCAAAAGCTTCTGCACAGAAAAATATACAATCATCTAAACGGAAAGGCTACCCACTGTACAGGAGAGCATAATTGCCAATGATATATCAGATAAGGGGTTAATTTCCAAAACATATAGAGTGCTCATATAACTCCACAAAAGGAAGACAAAGAATCCAATTAAAAACTGGACAGAGGAACTAAACAGACACCTCTCCAAACAGGACATACAAATGGCTAAGAAACATATGAGGAAATGCTCATCATCACTAATCATCAGAGAGATGCAAATTAAAACAACAATGAGGTATCACCTCACACCTGTCAGAATGGCCGCCATCAACAAATCATCAAACAACAAGTGTTGGCGACGGTGTGGAGAAAAGGGGACTCTAGTGCACTGCTGGTGGGAATTCAGACTGGTGTAGGCACTATGGAAAACAATATGGTATTACCTCAAAAAATTAAAAATTTAACTGCCATTTGACCCAGTGATCCCACTTCTAGGAATATACCCTAAGAAGCCTGAAACACTAATCAGAAAGAATATATGTACCCCAATGTTTGTAGCAGCACTATTTACAATAGCTAAGATCTGGAAACAGCCCAAGTGTCCATCAGTAGACGAATGGATCAAAAAGCTGTGGTACATATTCACAATGGAGTACTACGCAGCTGTAAGAAAGAAAGATCTGTTATCATTTGAGACTACATGGAGAGACCTGGAAAGTATCATCCTAAGTGAAACAATCCAAACAGAGAAAAACAAGTTTCATATGATCTCACTTATTTGTGGAATATAATGAACATAACAGTCTGAGGAATGGGGTATTCCCAGAGACGTGGAAGTGGGGGTAAACACTGACAATCCCCTAAAGAGGCGGGTGGTGGGGGAGAGATAAACCACAGAACTTATATGCATGTATGCATGAACAGTGGACATGGACAACAAACTGGGGAAAGGGCAGGGAGGGAGGGGGAAGGGGGAATCAGTGGGGGAAAAAGGAGAAACATATGTAACAATAATTAATTTAAAAAAAAAGTGTGGTACATGTACACAATGGAATACTATGCGGCTGTAGGAAAGAAAGATCTCTTATCCTTTGAGAGATGGCATGGAAGGACCTGCAGAGTATTATGCTAAGCAAAACAAGCTAAGCAGAGAAAGACAAATATAACATGATCTCACTTATTTGTGGAATATAATGAACTAAACAAACTGCTGAATAAAATTAACCCAGACACATGGAGGTGGGGTACAAACTGCCAAGCCTCAGGGCAGGGTAATTGGGGGAAGAGATAAATCACAGAACTTACATGCATGTATGCATGACCAATGAACATAGACAACAAAGCTGGGGATGGGGTGGAGAGTAAGGGGAGAAGGGTGTCAATAGGGGGAAAAATGAGAAACATTTGTAACAAAAACTAATTAATAAATACAAAATTAAAAAGAGTCAGACACAAAATTGTCCGTAAGTACAATTTCAATTTGAAGAAACACACACATAATAAATTTTTTTAAAAAAATAGATAAAGTTGAAAGCTTCAGGATCCAAAATATAAAACAGCTATGCCCTAGTAGCTAACTGTGTGATTTCTAAACATACTGCTTGGGTTCAAATTTGAGCAAGTTAATTAACCTCTCTGGGCATGAGTTTCTTCTCATCTAAGAGAAAGATAATGATAATAATTTCTACATTCATAGAGTTATTGTGAGGAGTGAGTAAGTTAAAATTATAAAATACTTTGGACAGTGCTTGAGATAAAACAAGTACTTAGTGACTATTAGTGTTATTAATTAAACTGGTGTTAGATTGGATGTAAGAAGTGAGAGTGAAGATAAGAATAACTCTCACTTGCAAAATTGAATACAGGATAATGCTCCCATTCACTGAAATAAGGAACTGTAGAAGAAGAAGAGGTAATGAAGATCTCAAATTTGGTTTTGGATGTGTGGGTTTTATGAAATATCCAGGTAAAGATATTGAAAAGGTGATTGTATGAATCTGTAGTTATGGGAGAGGTCTGACACAGGAGAGTTATTACTATATAGATGATCATTAACACCATCAAAATGGATAATATTGATCAGGGAGAAAATATTGATTAACAAGCAAATAAGGCCTAAAGCTGAGCACTGGGGTTATCTGTCATCTAATGGATGAGTAGAGAAGGAGGGATCAGGGAAGGAGACAGAAGAAGGAGCAGTTTATGCAATAGGGAAACAAAACCCAGAGAGGTGTTGGCATAGAGGCCAAGGGAGGAAGGAATTTCAAGAAGGAAAAGCCCTGGCCAGTTTGGCTCAGCAGTTAGTGTTGGCCCACACACCAAAGTGTCAAGGATTCAATTCCCAGTCAAGGGCACATACCTGAGTTGTGGGTCAATCCCCAGTCCTGGTTGAAGTCATGCAGGAGGTGACCAATCAATGCGTTTCTCTCACTTTGATGTTTCTCTCTCTCTTTATTCTTCCCTCCCTTCTACTTTATCCCTATCTAAAAAAATCGATGGGGAAAAAAAAAAATATCCTCAGGAGAGGATTAACAAAAGAAGAAGAAGAAGAAGAAGAAGAAGGAATGAATGCTTAATAGGTACAAATTCAAGTGCAAATAAACATTAAATAAAGACTAAAAAAATATTAATTGGATTTAGCAGCATGACAGTCACCAACCTTAGCAAGAGCTGTTGCTTTCACAGTACCCCAGTGTCCTTAGAAAGTTTGGTTCTAAGTCAAGATAATAAAATTTATAAGGTCAATTTGTTCATCATATCTTAGAAAATGTTTTCCAGTTCAATTTCTCTATTTAATGACCATAGCTATTTTATTCCTACTTTACAGGTCTGATTGGATGTCACAAGAAATTGGTATATTGGCATGTGATTGGAATGGGCACGACCCCTGAAGTGCACTCAATTTTCCTTGAAGGTCACACATTTCTTGTGAGGAACCATCGACAAGCCTCCTTGGAGATCTCGCCAATAACTTTCCTTACTGCTCAGACACTTCTGATGGAACTTGGCCAGTTTCTACTATTTTGCCATATCTCTTCTCACCAGCATGGTAATATCTGTGGATCTTAAAAACTAGTATTACAAGTATTCAGCTCTTATTTTAATGGAATTTACTTTCCACTCTCCAGTAAAGCATTACTGTATGTTAGTTACTTCTCAACTGAGATTCCCTGGTTGCCAGTTTTCAGAGTAAAGATTTTGCCTTGAATATAAGAGGGCTTGAATACATGTAGTATTGGTGAATTTCTAGTTAAATACCTGTGATAGAAGTAGGGCAGGTGGTTTAGGGATAAATGAAGTGGCAAAAGTAAGGAGGACAGTATATTATTGGTTTTCCATTATGATCCCATTAACTAGGCTTTGACACTGTGGAGAGAGAGATGGCAGGTCATACATAGCTGAAGAGATGTTTTATGAGAAAATTTAGGAAAATGGAAAAACGAAACAAAACAGCACTTCCCAGGTTGTAATCACAAGGGCTCCAGGATATCAGTAGAGAATCCCAGAGCAATAACTAGCAAATACCAGAGAATATTGCAGTGCTCAATATGAGACACCAGACCACTAATGTACATGGAGGCACTCTGCAGATACCTGGTAAGAGATGAGAGACATCTGGAAAACTCAGAGCACGTCAGGGGATAGTGGATATTGGGAGAAGCAACATGGGAGTGAAAGTTGGTAAGCATACTTGAGACACCTCGTGAGTTTTTTTTTAATCCTCACCCAAGGACATTTTTGCATTTATCTTCGAATAGAGTGGGAGGGAGAGAGGGAGGAAGAGAGGAGGAGAGAAACATCCATATGAGATAGACACATCGAATGGTTGCCACTCTCACAACCCCAACTTGGGCAGGGCTGAACCGCAATTGAGGTACGTGCCCTTAGCGGGAACCGAACCTGAAACTCTCTGGTCCACAGGCCAACGCTCTAACCACTGAACCAAACAGGCCAGGGCACCTCGTGAGGTTTTTAAGGACTACTTGATGGGGACTTTGCAAAGGGTCAAAGTTCCTGTGAAATCACTTTGCCACAATGCCACCTAGAGTTTTGGATTATTGTTAATGTAAAAAATCATATTACAGAATCATCTCGCCCCCATTTTCCTTTTTATATATTCATTCTATTAACTCTTAATATTGAATCTAGTCTTAATATTATCTAGTCTGAGCTTGATTCAATTTAAGAGGAATTTATGTCTTATTTTGTTTTATTCTCTGACAACTTGTTTTCACTGATTTTAATTATTGCTTTTCAGAAAAATGATTTGCTTCATTGGATCTCAAATAAAACCCATCATTTTAAGATATAGAATGAATTAGGTTTAAGTCCACATGAACCCTGGACTAGTTGTTTGCTGCTCTTGAAGTCTGCCCTGTTCCTCATATTCAGTAAACAGGTCTACCTTGTTAGTATTTTTTTTTTTTTTTTTGCATTTTTTGTTCAGGTAGAGTGGGAGGGAGAGAGTGGAACAGAGAGAGAGAGAGAAACATCGACGTGAAAGGGAAACATCGAGTGGCTGCCACCCGCACAACCGACCAGGGCCGGGGACAAACTGCAACCGAGGTACGCGCCCTTAGCGGGAACCGAACCCGGGTCTCTCAGGACCACAGGCCGACGCTCTAACCGCTGAACCAAACCGGCCAGGGCTACCTTGTTAGTATTGATCTTCAAAATAGCCCTATGGCACAGATAGGGTAGGAATTATTATCTACATCTTATAAAGCATAAAGATGAGATTGAGATTTTTTAATAGACTTGCCATAGGGCTTACAACTGGGCACAGGCAAAAATGCTCTTAAAATATATAACATATTGCCTAGCTGGTGTGGCTCAGTGGATTGAGCGTTGTCCCATGGACTGAGAGATCCTGGTTAGATTCCCAGTTGGGGCACATGTTTGGGTTTTGGGCTTGATCCCGGGTGGGGGTCGTGTAGGAGACAGCTGATCAATGTTTCTCTCTCACATTGATGTTTCTCTCTCTCTCTCCCTTCCTCTCTCTCACTAAAAAAATCAATAAAAAACATTAAAAATATATATATATAACATTTGTTTTATTTTGTGCTGTACCTTTTCATATTTTTATGAACTTGGAATGCATTTTGAAATTTATATCTATCCTACTATTTTTCCTGATAAGCTGTTATTAAATTGATGTTTTTGTGTCATACTTTAAAAGAGTAAATATAGAAATCATTAGGTAACTGTGGGAATGGGGAGTTTGTCTCCTTGTTTATAATTTGGGAGTTGGGGAGTGATAGGCTCCGAGCCAGTTCCAGAAAGGAAATAGTCATATGTATTGTAAGAGCAAATGAATGAGTCTTGAAAGGGAGGTACGCCCTGGCTGGTTTGGCTCAGCGGTTAGAGAGTCGGCCTGCAGTTCAGAAAGGGAGGTAAAATATTTATTAAAGGAGAGTCAAGCAGAAGGGAAATGATGAGTGCAAAGACCACAGGAAGAAACCAGCAAGCACCAGATATGGAAGGGTAATCCATATAGGAAAGTGGCAAAAAGAGTATTGGTGTGGAGGAGGGAAACACTTAAGAGAGAGCCTTGAAGGCCTAATGACAGACAATGATATCGTACAAGTTAAGGCAAGTAAGTCTTGTGGGAATTTGACATTGTTTTGTTCATCTGATTCCAGATGGTATGGAAGCTTATGTCAAAGTGGATAGTTGCCCAGAGGAACCCCAACTACGGATGAAAAATAATGAAAGAGAGGAATATGATGATGATGATCTTTATGACTCTGACATGGATATTGTCAGGTTTGATGATGACAACTCTTCTCCCTTTATCCAAATCCGCTCAGTTGCCAAGAAACATCCTAAAATTTGGGTCCACTATATTGCTGCTGAAGAGGAGGAATGGGACTATGCTCCCTCAGTCCCCACCTCTAATGACAAGTAAGCACTTTTTGATTCCTGCTACTCTCTCTTCCCCATACTCAAAAGGTTCTTCCTAGTTATTCAAAATAACAAATCTTCAAACCACAGTTAGGATAGGTGCAAGTATGGAATTAAATGTCAAGGGCATTAATATGTTTGGAAACTAAAATAGCTAAGCATCAAGAATGCTTGTATTTTTCCCACTCTTTTTCTTGATTAAATCATATCAGTTGTTTTAGAGTTGGATTTTAGCCATTTCTACCTAGAATTCTCCATTTCAAACTCTCATCTTTTTGTGTCTCATATAGAAATTATACGAGCTTATATTTGAATAATGGTCCTCAGCGGATTGGTAGGAAGTACAAAAAGGTCCGATTTATGGCTTACACAAATGAAACATTTAAAACTCGTGAAGCTATTCAGTATGAATCAGGAATCCTTGGACCTTTACTTTATGGAGAAGTTGGAGATACCCTGTTGGTAAGTTGAGGAAAAGATATAAGGTTGGGTAAGAAGAAAGAATCTGGAGGGTTTTGAGTTTCTTAAAACTTCATAAACTGGCCTTATCTGTAATGGGCATTATCTTTAAAAAATTATAAATGTTATACAAATAAATGTGGATTATAAATTTGTTTAAAAATATGAGTATATACAATACAAATTTAATGCCACTCATTAAACCTGCCACACTCCTTTGATATATTCATTGCTTAGACTTTGATACAAATTCTGCTAAAATTTTTCCCACCAATAACATAGTACAAGGAATCAGCAAACTATGGCACGTGAGCCAAATTTGGCTCATAATATATTTTTGGACAGCCTGTAAACTTAGAAGGATTTTGCATTCTTAAAGAGTTGTAAAGAAAAGAATAGTAAGAATATGTGATAGAGACTAGATATGGCTCCCAAAGCTTAGAGCATTTACTATCCAGCCCTTTCTAGAAAACATTTGTTGACCTTTGATACAAGGTATTAAGAATGCTTATGGACTTCTGGTCAAGATGGTGGGGTAGGTAAATGCGGTATCGCGTCCTCCCACAACCACATCAAAGTTACAACTAGACTACAGAACATCCATCATTCAAAACCTCCTGAAATCAAGCTGAATGGAAGTCCTACAACTACGGAATTAAAGCAGCAGCCACATCCAGACTGGTAGGAGGGGCAGAGGGCCGGTGGCGAGATGGGCTGGTCCCACAACCACGTGTGGTGGATAAAAATCAGGAGGATACCTCGGCTGGAAAGGTCCTCCCTGAGGACTGAGGGATCCCTGTCCCACACCAGGTGCCCTGCTCAGGGTTCCAGTGCCAGGAAGAGAAGTCCCCATAACTTCTGGATGGAAACACCAGCGGGAACTGAGTCTCAGGGAGGTTGAGACGGCTGGAGCCCCAGGCAGCTCCTTAAAGGGCCCACGCACAGACTTATCAGACTCTCTCCCTCTAAGCTTGGAGTGGAGGCAGCTCGAGGAGCACCAAAGACATACAAAGAAGAACTGAGCTGATTGGCACTGGAGCGAGGGCTGGAGAGGGGGCTTTCTCCGGGATAAATGTGCTGTCAGAGGCCTTTGTTCCTTTGGTGAGCCCTTCCCTGGGGCGGCAGAGAGCCGCCATATCTGGGACTCCAGCAACCTGGCTCACACTGGTAGCCCCCCCCTGGTGACTCCCTGAGGCCCCGTCCCGCCCCACCCAACTTTGAGGCCCACCCAAGCTGTTGCCAGTTGCTTAACCATAAAATTGGCCTGTCTTGGATCCTGCTTCAGGTTTTTCCTAAATTCTTTCAAATAAGCAGCATCTGGTCTCAGCTAGCCCCATACCTCTCGTTAAGTAATACATAGAAACAAACACAGGGAGGCAGCCAAAATGAGGAGACAAAGAAACAGGTCCCAAATGAAAGAACAGAACAAAACCCCAAGAAAAGAACTAAGCAAAATGGAGATAAGCAACCTAACAGATGCTGAGTTCAAAATACTGCTTATAAGGAGGCTCAATGAACTTAGTGAGGGACTCAAGAGCATAAAAAAGGACCAATCAGAAATTATGGACGCACAGTCAGAATTGAAGGAGGCATTAACTAAAATAAAGAATAATTTACACAGCTTCAATAGTAGAGTACATAAATCCAAGAAGCAAACCATCGATTTGGAATATAAGGAAGCAAAAAACGCCCAATCAGAACAGCAAAAAGAAAAAAGAATCCAAAAAAATGAGGATAGTGTAAGGAGCCTCTGGGACAACTTCAAGTGTGCCAACATTCACATCTTGGGGGTGCCAGAAGGAGAAGAGCAAGAATAAGAAATCGAAAACCTGTTTGAAACAATAATGGCAGAAAAGCTTCCTAACTTGGTGAAGGAAACAGACATACAAGTCCAGGAAGGACAGAGAGTCCCAAACAAGATGAACCCCAGGAGGCCCACACCAAGACACATCATCATCAAAATGCAAAAGGTTCAAGACAAAGAGAGAATCTTAAAAGGAGCAAGAGAAAGGCAGCTAGTTACCTACAAGGGAGTTCCCATAAGGCTGTCAGCTGATTTCTCAAAAGAAACTTTGCAGGCCAGAAGGGAGTGGCAAGACATATTCAGAGTGATGAAAAGCAAGAACCTACAACCAAGATTACTCTATCCTGCGAAGCCGTTATTTAGAATCGATGGCCATATAAAGACTTTCCCAGACAAGAAAAAGTTAGAGTTCATCACCACCAAACCGTTATTATATGAAATGATGAAGGGTCTTTTTGAAGAAAAAGATAAAATATATGAACAAACAAAATGGCAATGAATACATATCTATCAACAATGGAATCTACAAACAAATGAACAGGCAGAACAGAAACATTCTCATAGATACAGAGAACATTTTGTTGGTTTCCAGAGGGGAGGGAGGTTGGGGGAATGGGTGAAAAAGGTGAAGGGATTAAGAAGTACAAATTCATTGCTAGACTGACAAACCTCAAAAGGAAAGGGGTTGGGTGGGTGGGAAGAAATAAACCAAAGAACTTATATGCATAACCAATGGACACAGACGATAGTGTGGGAAAAGGCGGGAGGGGGGCAGTAGTGGGGAGGAGGGGGTCAATGGGGGAAAAATGTAAAACATCTGTAATACATTTTACATTGAACAATAAAGATTTTTTTAAAAAAGAATGCTTATGGCTCAGCTGGTGTGGCTCAGTGGGTTGAGCATTGTCCCATGGACTGAGAGGTCCTGGTTCAATTCCCAGTCAGGGCACATGCCCAGTTTGTGAGCCAAATCCCCAGTGGTGGGCATGCAGGAGGTGGCCAGTTCTCTCTCATCAATGTTTCTATATCTTTCTCCCTTTCCCTAAAAATCAATAAAGAAAAAAAACATATTTAAAAGAAAAAAAGAATACTTATGCTGCAAAGAATAGAAAACTCAATGAACAGTGGTTTAAAAAGGGGGGTATTTTTTCACAATTAATTTGGAACTAGATGGTTGATTGGTTGTGTCACCTTAGCAGCTCAAGAATGTCATGAAAGATGTTAATTATTATACATGGTGTGTTGAGCAGAACACCATGCAGTAGTTATTTCTGCCAGAGGAGCATTCTACATGGGGAATATCAAATATCATCACTATGCCAGCCACCAGGAATAGAAGTCCAAACACTTCTACCCACTACATCTGAGTATTAGTGTCACCAAGTTAGACACAATACAGTCAAACACTGATGGAATCATGCTTTTACTCACATAGAGAAGAGATATATTAGAGCAAGATCAGCTCCAATTGTGTGCATGAGTCCCCCATGGCTAGGATGTCTCCCCTGGCAGCCAACGCAGGGCAGTTTTCTATGTGTACCCCTCTCATGCTTCAGCAGAAGGATCCCAACCCCTCCCCAGTGGAGTTTGAAATACTGAAAGCTGGGGGCATGCCTGGGGCCCATTGATGCACTTGCTTAAGCAGAATAAAGGAGAATTAATTGAGACTGAAACAGACAAAGATATTTTTACACAAGGTCATAAGCCTGGAACAGGCTGTTTGGGCTCTTTATTTCCTAATAAGGAAGTGTTCCAGGCCCTAGGCCCATTCTTACGTGGCCAAGCAGGGGTCAAAAGACTAAACATGAGACTGCCTTTCCCAACATGGAGTTTTGTTAGATATTGCCAAAATGTCTTCCAACAATTCTGTATCAACTTATACCCTCCCCAAGAGTATGTGAGTGCCCTTTTCTCAACATCAATGACAATATATATTATAAACATTCAGGACATTTTACAATTTGATAAGCAAAAGATTTATATATTGTCTTCATTTGTATTTCCTTGGTCAGTAGTGAAATTACATGGTGTTTCATGTTTGTTGACTATTTACATAATACCCTCTGTAAATTGCCCACTTGTAAAATTTTGTACAGTTTTTTATTAAGATGGTAATCTTTTGCTTATGTATTTGTAGAAGGCTTTATGCATTATAGATATTGGCACATCATTATTTATCTTTCAAACATTTTTCTTAGTCTGTTACTTGTACTTTATCTCCTTTATGATGCTTTTTATTCTACAAAGATCTTTTATCTTTATCTAGTCAATCTTATATCATTCTTCATTTATATTTCCTGCCTATAAATGTCTTCACTACCCCTAAAAGATTATAAAATAGGCTACTGTATTTTATTCTTTTACTTTTATAGTGTTATTTTTACAATAACCATTTTAATTACTCCAGAAGTTACTTTTGGGTGTAGTGCATAGTGTCAAATAAGGATTCTCCAAATGACAGCCAATTGGTCCAATCAATACATTCTTCACTAATTTAAAAATACCTTCTTCATCAAAACACTAAATTGCTAAGTTCTCTTTAAGTGATCTGTTATCACACTGTTTTAATGACTATACCCACTTGTAATATGTTTTTATATTTGTAGGGCAAGACTTCCCTCATATTACTTCTTCAAAATTTTAATTAGTTATTCTTGTACATTTTTCTTCATAAATTGTATTTATTTATTTTTAAATTAATAAGTGAGAATAATTCAAAAGGCGAAAAAGACTATACAATGAAAAGCAGATTGTCTTCCCTTCCAGACTTCCAATTCCATGGTCTTAAATAGTATATACACAAACAAGTGTATGTGTATATATTTTACACAAAATAGGAGCACTGTGGAAATTGTTCTGTACTTTGATTTTTCAAAAGTTAACAATATATTCTGAATATTATTCACATAAAGATATATATATATATATATATATATATATATACCTCATTCTTTGATTTATGTAAGTTATACTCTGGACACTTTGCTGAATCCTAATGATCTTTTCTTTCTTTTTTTTTAAAATCCTACCTAAGGATATGTTTATTGATTTGAGAGAGAGAGAGATAGAGAAACATCTATGTGAGAGAGAAACACTGATCAGTTGCCTTTGGTACACACCCCAACTGGGGACCAAACCGCAGCCTGGGTATGTGCCCTGACCGGGAATCTAACCTGCACCCTTTCAGTGTACAAGAAGA